ATGTAGGTAAGTAATTTTGCAAGTATACTACAGCTCAGAAAAAAAAATATTAATAATTATTTCATTATGTAGTTTACTGTTTTTGTAAACAATTAATTAAATAATATTTAGTAACTTAGGTTTTAGTTCTGTAAGAAATCATGCCTTGTAAAAACCTACTATTCTATATTTCCACCTATATGACTTTTGACTATACTAATTAGTAAAATTACCTACTAATAACTAATAAGCAGGGCTCGTAACTTCATGCACTAAAAAATGCATAAATAAGTATGCATTCATGCACTAAAAATTGTCAAAATATGCATTAACATTTTTAAATTATGCACTCAAAATATGCATTATGTAAAAAAAAACATGACCAAATTTTAAAATAATAAGAATAAATCCATACATTTTAAAAGTATTTTATTCCTCCTAATTTTTATATATTTAACAGTCAAAATTAATAAAATAAAATTAATACTTGTGAAGTTCAAATAGCTTTGTCATCTTTATAAATTTTAATTAGGTAGTCAATTTTGTCTAATTTGTGTACACCCTTATTCAGCACCAGCAATGAAAACATTTGGAATGAAATATTAGGTTTTTCATTTTGAGATAATTTAGTAATATATATTTTATAAGTGTTTTTTTATGTTTTCCAACAATAGGGTGCATAAGTAGACAAAATATGGCATAAAACCATGGTTTCGTAATTCAAGTAATACGGCTTATTGAAGTGGTTTACAGTAAAAATACCTATTATAAAAATTGTAAAGTAGAACTTTTTTTACAATCGTAAGAAGCCTGATTTATTTTTATTAATTAGCTAAATAATTATTCAATAAAAAATTTAAAAAACCGTTATAATTTACCATGCGATATTGGACGATTGGAACAAGATATCAAAAACCGGAAGAAACTTTTCAAATATTTGTCTAAAAAATATTTTTATGAAATAATATGCACTAACGACTGTAAAAAATCAACTATATGCCAAATATGACTTTACACCCAAAACATGCAAAAACATGCACTATCAAACTTCATATTATTATTACTATTGTTATGAAACGGATTTGTATCTCAGTTAGCATGTTTTCCTGTGTGGCAAAAAAAACATGCAGATGCATGAACTTACGAGCCCTGCTAATAAGTAATAAGCCTACGAACTCTATTATAATGACATAGTATTTTCACTTTAATTACTTCACTATTGTTTTTTCCTATCAATACCAACCCGGCAACGTCCAACTTAGAGCAAATCTTTGGCCCTAATGCCCTATGGCCCCTTACATTGATACAACATTATACCTACATTATATTTAATCAATGCCCCTTCACCGGACTTGCATACGATTATATAGCGCATGGTGCATACGTATTGAATCGATTTATATAGATACTATTATTGGCTCGCCGCTCGAAGACCTTAACCCGGATCGATCGCAATACAACAGCAATATAAAATAATATCGAAAACGACGAAAACCTCGTCTCGCCTTGGGTCCCAATGGTACGCTCGTTACCGTTCCGAGAATAGAATTGAATAGAGTATTTCCGATTTCACTTGTACTTGACCGCTGATTATTTACAATCAACATCGATAATAATAACAATGATAACGTAGGAAGTGTGGTGTATAGCGATTGTGTAGTGTGTATTGTGTACGTAACGTGCCGGCAAAATGGCCGCCGTGCCGGCGTAAAACCGGCGGACGACGCTCGGGCGCGACGGTTTGACGGGTTATTTTCTCATTTGCCGCTTGCCCGGGTTCCCCTCTGCTGGGCCGTGGGTCGATAGCGGACGTGGCCGCAGGTGTTCTCAAGCGCGGCGCACGTTAGCCGCCGTCAGTGACGTCACGACGACCGCAGTCGACTAGGCGTGCTACGGTGCTCGTGACGTCATGCGCACTGGCCAACGTATACACGACGCGTTCACAGCGCAGACCGTCTACCGAAGTCGAAGTGCCGATCGTGGTCGTCCTATTTCAGTCATTTACGGTACACACCCCATCGACTCAACACGCTTGACGTCGTCATCTCCACTTCCTTCAGGTAAGATTTTTAATAATAATTATTTGTGTCATCTTTCATCCGATCGGCGATCTACAGATCGCCGTCTTCCTCATCGTCCGTCGCCACTCGAAACGAACTCTTTATTCGCTTCTCTCCGCGAGCGATTTCGTTTCGTATTGTTATTATATCATGTTACTTTCATTTTCAAACGCATAATCTTGTATTATATTATTACGTGGTCTATCTGGTTTATCGCTCAATGTGGTAACGATCTGACGGCGGCCGATTTGGTCGTTCGGTCGCCGGTTCGCCGCCATTGTCCTTCGCGAAGGAAGTTGTCAATAAACCATTTTTGTCTACCACAGATTTTTAGGTTTTTTTTTATCATCAAATCGTCGAGTTTTTGTATTATACACACTTCCGCTCGTCTGCTCTCCGCTGACTATCCGCTAGACTCCGATCAATACTCTCTGACCTTGGTTGACCTTCACATTGAATCGACTTTGGTGTTAGACGCCCGTTTATCCTCCGTGTGAACTTTGTCGCTCGTTTAACCCACAAGTTGAGTAATATGTTATCATTGTTTGCAATTTTTGTTGTCTGCCCTTCAACATTTTGTTTGCCCTTACAATTGTGTGTCTATTTCGGTAGTGATGAATTCACCGGGTGACCTATAATTATCCTACCTACTGGCTACATGGAATCAAAATAAAAATGTACTGTTAACTTTGTTTGATAATTTTTTTTTTAAATTTAATACTGACAATAATTGCAATTGAATAAATATTTTCAACTGATTTACCGCACAATAATAATATGTAACACTTGAACGCTCAATATCAAACTGATATGTATCGACTATCGATACACTCAAATTCCTTCCCTGAAAATCTTGGTAGTCTTAATGAAAATTAATTGAAAATAGTACTCTGGTATTATACTTTTATGTTTAAACCTTGTTAGTTACATTCACTCACTAATTTATTGAGATGGTACCTTGTCTTCAGATGTGTACATATATTTTGTATGTATCTATGTATATAGCATATCGATGTATATAGCATATCGATGTATATGAATACTGCATGGTAGAAGTTGTCTTATTGTGAGCCGTTTTAAATATTTTTCCTTATCAATTCAATTTAATAAACACAATGGGTTTTGGGTGGTTTTCAGTTTTCACTTTCTAATTGAATGACATTATTTAAATTATTTTTATATTAATGTTTTATTATATTTGGTTAAAAACATTCGAAAGACCTTGTTATAATATATTATAATATTAATGTGTGTACTTAATTAATTTCGATATTCTATACAAATTTAATTGTATTAGGTAACTACAACTATTAAAATAAAAATGATTTTATAATTTTATACTTAAAAATCAGTTCAAGGTACCTAGTCTTAAAATTATTTGGCTACTTTAACTTAAAATCAAAATCATTACTATAGCCTACAGATATTTTCATAATTGAACGTTTTTATCGATGTGTTTATGTTTATTGGTAACAATGCCAAATGTGATGATCCTTTTCTAACCTACGGCTACATATATTACTAATATAAAAATTTTGAATTACATTTTACTTAAAGTTTAAATATTTTTTATAGCCATTATTTAGTAAAACATTTTTACAATTTTAAAGCTAATATGGTAAATCAGTTTTTATTAACTCCCAAAATTTGAGAATGGTACCTACATCAAAGAAATGTTTTAATCATAATATACTATTTTATGTGATTAATTTACAAAAATTAATTTTGTGTCCAAGTTCTGCAAGGTCATTGGCTAAAACTGTTTCAAAAAATTTGGCAATCGTTAATCAAAGATATATTTCTTACAAACCATTGATTTATAATTATTGGTACTCATTAGTAAATTGGGAAAAATGTAATATTATTTCATATATTCACTAAATCATCACTGGTATGAATTACTAGTATTAAATGAGTTCTAAAATTCTGTTACCTATTTAGTTACCTTTGTACAATTTTAGCTTCCATCTCAAATTCAGAGTCAAATATATCTTCTGGAAATTAATAACCAAGCTAAAATGATGAAAAAAATTGTTTCCATAAGTAGGGTCATTAGACCCCTTCTATCAGTCCTGCATACTTGTACCCCCTCCCATATTACCTATTATATAAATGTATTACAGATTATATATATTCTTCTTTTCTAATATATTGTTTCTACTATGAAAGATTTAAAAAAAATGTCAATATTAAAGACTGTTATTTTTATTAAGAATGGGTTTTGGTTTTAAATATAAGGTAATCAACGTCTTATTGTTAATACTTGAATAGTTATTTTGATTAACGATAGGCAATAACCAATAGCCGCTTCTAAAAGTACAAAATTGAAGTGTTTTCAGTTCCTTCTCTATACTCTATTGAACAGAATCTATTTAGAAAAAAATGTCCAGTTTGGCTCGACCGCCTAATGTGGAGGTAAAAAAAGATGAGGCAGTTGTGTTGGTTGATAGTGCCAGTGGAATAGATATCCAATTTTGACACATTTTCATCCATCGGCTCAGAATTATGAATAGTGCATAATTATCAAGGTTTTTTTTATCGGTATTACAAATTAAATCTGTTAACCAGTCTTAGGTCTTGAACTAAAAACCACATGTCATATAATAGTAATTAATAATACTTAAAAAATATAGTGATTTATTAATAATGGTCCAATCTTCATCTGTTTTTTGTGCCTTGATAACTGAAAAGTAATTTATTCGTCAGAAGGGATTATTCAATTCGAATGTTATAAATATGTACAATAAAGGTACTACTTTTATCATTTATAGGTAATCTACACCAAACATTATCAGTTTATGTTAATACTTCTGACCTTGGAATTTACACCTTTAACTTTCAAACCAAATAAAAAATGATTTAAATTTTAATGATCCTGGAAAATAATGATTTTTCCTTTTTTTATTATTAATTATATTCTATTATTAATATTTTTAGTAAATACAATATAAAAAAACAAATATGTCAAACATTGGTATCAATGGATTTGGTCGTATTGGCCGATTGGTGTTGAGAGCTTCGCTGGAAAAAGGCGCCAAAGTTGTAGCCATCAACGATCCATTCATTGGTATTGAATATATGGTATATCTATTCAAGTACGATTCCACTCATGGACGTTTCAAAGGCGAAGTTTCTGTTGACGGAGACGTTCTTATTGTCAATGGTAAATATTTTACAGTTTAAATTACAGTTTATAATTGTTTACTTATTATGTTACAAAATTATTAGGAAACAAGATCAAGGTGTTCTCTGAACGCGACCCAAAGGCTATCCAATGGGGATCTGCTGGTGCTGATTACGTAGTAGAATCCACTGGTGTGTTTACTACCATTGAAAAAGCATCTGCTCACTTGGAAGGTGGAGCCAAGAAAGTTATCATCTCTGCACCAAGTGCTGATGCACCAATGTTTGTTGTTGGTGTTAACTTGGATGCATACAATCCATCATTCAAAGTTGTATCTAATGCTTCATGCACAACTAACTGCTTGGCTCCATTAGCCAAGGTTATTCATGACAACTTTGGAATTGTTGAAGGTCTTATGACTACTGTTCACGCTACCACCGCCACCCAAAAAACTGTTGATGGACCATCTGGAAAAGTTAGTCTCTAAAAATTGTCACTTTTAACACTATTTGTGTGATTTCAATTTTTTTATATCTATAGTTGTGGAGAGATGGCAGAGGTGCTGCCCAAAACATCATTCCTGCATCTACTGGAGCAGCCAAGGCTGTTAGTAAGGTTATCCCAGAACTTAATGGAAAATTAACTGGAATGGCTTTCAGAGTACCAGTTGCTAATGTTTCTGTTGTTGATTTGACCGTAAGGTGAGTTATCAAAAGTACTATTCGTTTTAGTTAGATTACAACAATATTACTGTTAGCATTTCTTACTTCATTTGTTGTCTCCGTCTTACAAGTGAGTAACATAGCAAATTGTACACTCATCAAAACACGTTTTGCTCCGTTAGTTTACAAATTGGAGTGAATTGACCTCTTATAAAATGTACAGGTAAGATTATTATCTAAGCAATCTCATCAGCACTTTATTATATTTCAATTTTAAAGCTAGTTCTGAGTATTTTAAGATTGAAATTACATTTTACATTTTTTAAATACTCACAACTCGCTATTTAAAGTTAAATTCTAATTAAAAAAACCCAAGAGATTGCCTAGATAATAATCTACCCTTTAAAGTGCACATGTTACACACTTGTAAGATGGAGACAACAAATTTCGATGCTATGTCCTCATAAGCAATTCAGTAAAGTACAATGATTATTAGAAATTATACTATAATCAAAATAAGAATGGCAGTCTGCAGCTAATTTGTGCACAGAGACAAAGCGTAGCTTTCCATAAGACTGGCCTCTTGTGTCGACTCAGTGGGGGAAGAATCTGACCGTTATCAATGCCCACTACCATTCTTATTTTGAATAGAGTTTAATAACTATATTTGTATTATTTTAATATAAAAACTATTGAAACCGATGAATATTCAGATATAACTTACATTCAAAATTATATATGTAGGTAAGTAATTTTACAAGTATACTACAGCTCAGAAAAAAAAATATTAATATTTATTTCATTATGTAGTTTACTGTTTTAGTAAACAATTAATTGAATAATATGTACATTTTGTATTTTAGACTTGCAAAACCAGCATCATACCAAGATATCAAAGATAAAGTCAAGGAAGCCGCAGAAGGGCCATTGAAAGGAATTTTGGGTTACACTGAAGATGAAGTTGTGTCTTCCGACTTTATTGGTGATACCCACTCATCAATCTTTGACGCTAAGGCGGGAATTTCATTGAACGACCAATTTGTCAAACTTATCTCATGGTAATGAATCATAAATAAAACGATTTACCATGTACCTATTAATTAATTATGTATTTATTTTTTAGGTACGACAATGAATATGGTTACTCCAACCGTGTTGTGGATTTGATCAAGTACATGCAATCTAAGGATTAAACTAGTTTCAAGCTACTACTAATAGTTGCGATAAGTAACTACACATTTGTGTTTTAGAATAAAACTACATTTTTTTTTGTTCCCCATCATCAATATTTTTGTTTACTGTGTGAAATTTTGAAGAGAAATACTCATTTTTTTTTTTTTTAGAAATTATATTTTTGTTTATGTAAAAATCCTAAAATAAAAGAACAAACAATTATATACCTACCTCGATATAAAAATAATAAATAAAACAATGAATTTTAGAAGACAATAAAATTATTATCAAAATCTTAATACTGTAACTTCATTAAAATACAACAATGACAAAATTAATGTGCATATAAGGTAAATGCTTGAGAGATGTGTGTAAGATTGGTTCCCTGATTGTTGTTGTTCACAATGGTAAGCGCCAATTTTTGTTGCATATGCTATTGCATGGGCAATATAATTTTGTTCGTGAATGGAATGAAACAAATGTCCCATTGGTCCTATAACAAATATTTGACTTAGAAGTTTCTTATTTTGAACAGAGTCTATTAAATATTTACCTTTGGCATATACTGCTACGTCACTTCCACCATGTAGTCCTGTCTCTTCTGGAATACCAACTTGTTGAGTATAATCATGATGAGTTGTATTACTAACTGTTGGATTCTGTCTAATGACTGAACTACCTTGACGGGTATACACTGGACTCTTAGCATATCCTATAGAATACGTTAATGTTGTGTATCTAACGTAATCTGATTCTGATACTCCTGCAACACCTAGAATATTATTCCCTCGTTTTGGATATCCATTAATTGATAGTAAGTTAGCGTGGTCACTGGTCACAATCACTAATGTGTCATCTAACATGTTTAACTGTCTTAGCAATTCGATTGTAGTTTTGATTGTTTTATCAAATTCGACAGTTTCGTCTAAAGCTAACCTGGCTGTGCTTTGATGGTGTGCTGCATCAATTAACCCGCTTTCCACCTATGAAACAATATTATAAAGTAAAATTAAATAGTTAAAATTTATGAAAAAGACTCAAATAGTAAGCTTATTAATTAGGAATTTAATTATAAACAATGAATAACAAACTTTCTTTTATGTTTGAATTCTTTACTTAAATATAAATTATTTTGCCTGTCTTATACTTCAATAATGTAATTTGAGACTGTTAAATTATTATTAATAATATGTATCACTCGCTTACTATGTACATGGTTACTGGAATCAGTGGAATCCAATAGGATAAGTTATAATATTATAGCCTAAATGTACAATAATACAGAAGTTATCTTAAGAATTGTATGGTAGTATCTTTTATTAACATAATAATTTCCAATATTATTATTATATAATTTGCTTGAGAGTAAAGCAAATCAAAGAATATGTACCTAGGTACTAAATTGTGCAAGTTCTTTAAATTGTTAGCACATTTTCATTTATTTTGAGAAATATACATACCATTAAAAAAAATCCTTTTTCATTTTTTGAAATTACTTTAATAGCTGTTTCAGTCATTAATTCTAGTGATGGTGTTCCTAACGACTTTTTGTTTCTATAATACTCCATTGGCATTGTTCCGTTTGTAAATAATCCTAAATAATAAATATAATCATGAATACTTGCTGAGTGCTATTAAACTTATTGCTTAAATCTGCGTTAAAAAAAAAAAACCATAATAAAGAATGATAATTACTAATTAGGTATTATTATAATGTTTCTCGGTTTCTGGTTAGTAAAATTGGTTTTTTTGTCTGTTACAGTAATAAATAGGCATAATTTTAGTAATTATTAGGTTCCTATGTCACTCTCAGTTCTTACACAAGGGAAATATTTGCTCAATCAGTATAGCACGTAGATCAGTCATTCTCAAAGTGGGCGATAGCGCCCCCTAGTGAGCGTTGGTGGTCTTCAGGGGGGTGGTAGGATATCCAAAGGAATTTCAATGAAAGTATACTGATATAATAGGTCACTTATCATCCAGGAATTCAACTCCTAGTGAATAACTTGCTCATGAATTTTGACCTCAAAATACAGAAATTGAACTATTTATTTATTTCTGTCTGCCATTTGCACGGAAGAAATAAATCGGTGGATATCAAGTGCTTAATTCATTTAGTTATGGGTACGAATGCAAATCATAATTGATGAGGGGTGGAAGTCCAAAACTCACTATTGCCTAGGAAAAGCGATTTTCTGCATCAACATTTCCAATAAAAACAAACCATTTATAACCAGACAAATCATTTTGATAAAAATGGTTTTTTTTAAATTATTTATATTTAGAACGATTCAAATGTATTAAATATTCTAGTGTTATATTTTTAATTTAATTTAAAACTTAACTAAAATTTTTAAAATTAAATTGGAAATAACATTTGTTTTGGAATAACATTTTTACTTCCCTATATATAGGTATTAGGTATACGTACAACACGGGTTAAAGTACGTTTTGGAAATAGGTAGTTCGTTTTGGTACAGTTAATAATTGGTGTCTATTCAATAGGTACCTAATAGGTTTTGGCTTAAACTGGAAAAAGTACGTTTTGATTTTCTGAATATAATTTTCATGTATGGAAAAGGTTAGTTTTAGATTAACTATAGGCATTTTGAATCGCAGATTTTTCCAGGAAACAGTACGTTTTCAGTTTTGATCCATTCTGACGACGCCAATCGATATCTTTTCCATAAGAATCGATATCTAAGTTGATTTTGTCAATTTTGGCAAAAGTACATTTTAGATTTCCACCCTATAGTATATCTAACTGGCTAACTTACTATGTAAAATACCATAGTATATTAATATGTAGATCAGTAGTCGCCATTTACTAAACTCACTTTGGGATCAGAGTATTTGAATCCAAACCGTACAACTTATGAGGAAATAAAGCAAAATGTTCAAGAACAAAAATATGCATTCCAAACCTCTAAATACCTGACACTGTCGGTCTCTGAAATTTCGTCCGTTATTCAGTGGTGTCAGTTAGGGAGGGGAGGTGTGAGTTTCAAGACATATATTGTGCATGTAATAAGAAATTTGATTTGGCTATAACACTATGCAGTAATAAATATTTATTATTAGGTATTTTACTTTGAATGTACTTGATGTGATGAGTCCATTAAATAGTATTAATCGTCAAAATACATGCCATGAAATCGGGAAAATAGACTATAAATTTGGAAACATGCAGTTTGAAATACACATTTACCCAATTAACAAGAGTAGGTAGATAACCTATTGAGTCTAATAGACAACTTTATTCCTATTCGTGTACTTGCAGGATAGTAAAATATTAAATCAATGAATCCAATAATCGGTACCTATATAATTGTACATAAATTATAAGATTCATTTGGTTGGATATACCTAACGTAAAAGACTATCTTTGTGCTGGTCCAAAGTGGCGTCCACAGAATTTAAAGCATATTATGTTACTAATTATGTTAGACGTAAAAACGTTAATAGGTTACTCACCCAAAATGTACTCTGTTTGTTTAGTGTCCAACAATCGTATATCTCTTACGTTGGTCAAGAACTGATGCGACAGGTTGTTGGATAGTTTGTCGTCTATCCACTCACGGATCAGATCTTTGCCGTCCGTTCTCACGCACAAGGATTTTTCAACTTGTTCCTTTGGGTTCGGCGGTGAATTAGCTTCGAACGATTTCTTGCCGCCGCCCATTATAACCTGTTTTTGGGAAAAAAAATCGTCACTTTGTATTATAAATAGTGTTATGGTGGACAGTGGACACGCAATATCCCGCTTATAATATGAAGTCGAGCAAGATGAACTCATTCAGGTTTAAAAAAAAAAATATTATTCTTTCAAATATATTTCTATATAGTGACGTTGTATAACAACTTAATAATTGTAGTCAGCCCATGTAGTAAATTACGTAGGACAAGTAAGTGGTAATACATACTATATAGTAATTGTTAAGAAAATTAATAAATAATTACGGTCATAAAGGATGCAATAATATATTGACAGAAGCGCTTCGGATTTTGATTACATTGTTCGTATCTAGTATAGTATGTATGGTCGGATGAGGTTGGGTGGGGTGACCACGGTTTTAAGCTGCACTTTTTCTGATAGGTACCCAAAATTCGATAGCTAAGTTTTTTTTTGTCATAATATAATAATTCTAATACCGTTGCACAAAAACACAAGGCGTATACTTTCGTCACACAATGTTATCTTATCTGGTCGAGTCTAAATCTCCGATAATCAATTTTTGGTGATGAATTTTATATTGCTAAATTAAAAAATGAATTTACCGTAATGTATACATATGAAGAACTTTCAAATGGCAGTCCATATGATTTGGTCAATAAAATTAAAACTAATGATTTAGTATCAGATTTTCAAGAAGTATTTAAATTTTTGCAGCTCATCCCAACTATTTCTAGTAGGTACAACTGCTTCAATTGAAAGGTCATTTTCAGCTATGAAACGAATCAAATCAGTGAAATCTTATCAAAGATCGACACAAAATCAAGATGGACTAAGTTCTTTGTCGATAATATCTATGGAAAAAGAATTATTAATAAAATCAAAAAAAGATATAGTTAAACAGTTAAACATTTATAAAATGTTAAACTTTTATAGCTAAGAATTGAAAATTTAAATCAAGGTTCCACGTAAATAGGTTATAAATTATAATATATAAATTACTTTATTCACAATTATATCATTAGTAATATCATTGGCTAACTAATCATCTTCTCTCCGAATCGTTTTTCTTATACAATGATATTATATCATTGAATTCAAATTTAACATCATACCTAACAGTGACCCACTTTTAACCTACTGTGCATGAGTGACACCCACTTGCCCACCTTTTTTATTTTTCTAATAAGTAAAATAATTTTAGGATTTTGGGCACCCCATGAAAATTGTAAAACCCGGAGCCTATTTGGATATGCGTTAATAAGATTTAATTTAAAATGTTTAAAATAAATATTATGTGGATAGACTAATATTATTGACCAGCATTTTTTTTTTTAGTAGGTATCAAAATTGTTAATAGAAAAAATTGGATTGGTAGGTGTTTTTGTTAACTTCATATGCTTTCGAAATTTCTCTGGGTGCCTCTGTACACCAAAGTGCTAGGGTCTCTGTAATTTATTCTACATTTCTACACTTGTGGGGGCTGTGTCTTGTAGGACTTGCTGGGCTATAGACTACAACTAAAAGTTAAATCATGTCTATACGCTACGTACTACATAGGTAAATATTATTAAAACATACTATAAACGCACCTACATACTTGTAAAAAATATGTACAATAGTTATAATAATAATATATTTTTACTCCATGTGTCCATAATATTATGTAGACATTTATTATTTAATACTTTATACACTTTTACGTCGTCAAACAATTTGATACAATGACATGCCATCACAGAATAATAATATAATATACAGAATATTATTATAATATTACAGAATAATACGATAATAATATTCTTTATATCATAAGTCATAACATACGCCATTTTTCAGCGAGTGCTTTTTTTCGGAATAAAAACGTATTCACACGCGTCGTATCGCATACAGAGTACAGACACTAGCCGTATCAACAATTGTCTGTAGACGCCTCATATGATAATATGATTAAGATAAAAATATGATATTATTGAGCAATTAGTGTTGTAGATAAATAGATAATAACTGTCTACCGTGGTAAGAAATTCTAAATATTCGAATTCCAACGTTCTGGGAGTCGTGTACAGACAAGATATCACACGTAGGTAGTAAACACGACATAATAATATTAATATTTATTATAATAATATTAATAACAATGAAAAGTTAAAGAATAAACGAAATTACGTGTACCAAACACACGCAGCGATCTGAATAAAGAATAATACCTATTATAATTTAAATAAAAAATAGATAGATATAAATTTATAAAAATGTAAAATGTTATAATACCTACATTTATGGGTTTATATTTTACACTATTGGAGGGATTCAAGGAAAATAATATTTGTATTATTTTGGAGAGCCACGTTAAGGACGGTCAGTTAGAGTCAGGGGCTGATTCAAATAAACAGAGGCCCTGTGTACTATTTACTTTGGACTCCTTTCAACTCCTAAAGTCTAAAAAGATTGGAAAAATTTAAAAACAGGCAAAGATTTATATATAAAAAAAACGGGTTAGTGGGTGACACTCTACTGTACAGTATAGGTTAAAAATGGGTCACTGTAATGGATGGTGTTAAATTTGTATTTAATGATATAATATAACTTCAGTATGCAAAAAATGATTCTAAACGAAGACGATTTGTCAGCCTAGGATATTTTATATTATTATTATTATTAATAATACGGTAGGTAAGTTGAATTAATATTATTTGCATACTATCATTTTGAAGTACCCATGAATAAAGTTTTTAAATTACAACACAAAACTAAAATTCATCGGTTAAATATAAATTTTTTTCCTAATTTGAACTTAAAATAACTAAAAAAAAAAAAATTGTGTTCATATATCTTTTAGTTTTGGTTCCAGTATAAACTACTTGCCTACATGTAACTTGTTTTAAATTTTCAATCCTTATCTATTAAAATCTTTGAATGCTTCTAAAAAGTAATTCTTGCCTTTATATTTTTAATACATATTCCTTAACTGATATTATAAGAAAATGTGAGGAGACTTATATTAAATATTCAAGTTTTTTTAAAATTTTATTGAGATTTAGGGAAAAAAAATTTTAAAAATTGAAAATTGAAAATTTCTAGTAAGGGTATAGAAAATGATAAAATAAATTTATAAAGTATGTACGGTTTTGTTGAAAACCAATTTTGAGTAAAAAATTACCGTTTTTCCTAAATTGTGTTTTTGTCTTTGCCTACTCTTTTTTGAACTACTGGGAATATTGACCTCTCATATGCACCAACTATAGATTCACTTTCCCATCGGAAAAGATACTGAAGTTGAAAATCGAAGTATTATTTCGACTATTTGTTCACTCCCGTGCCTATTCTATAAAATATTTTCATCTTAAAGACTGTAACGGCCATATTTTTTTTTAGGTAATTTCATCTTTCATTTTTAAGACATTTTGAGACTTGCCTAAATATTTAAGTTTCGCTTAAATCCTGTGTCAAACCAGGTCTCATAAACGTACATAATAATATATACTATACCTACACGGGAACATGCCTACAAACTGTGTATTAGGATAATATAACCTGCCTTAAAATGTCGTCCCGGTCGGTCTTCAATGAGCTGCCTGGCAATGTCCTTGCAGTTTTTCGCTCTTGGTGGCATGGCGGCGTTGCATTCCCACTTCCGGTTGGACGTCCGGGCGTATAGGGCGGCGGGCGTAGCATCGGTAATCCTGGTGTTGGTCACAAACCCTGTGAAAGTCACATGATGGTGTGATGAGTGATGAAAAAAATTGGAGCAGAGTCATCAAAATAAAACCATTTTTTTTTCATTAACCAATTTGGCATAGGTACCTATTATGATTATTTAACTGAAATAATAATATTGTCGTTTGTGGCTTTATCGAGTTCTAGACTCCGCGACTTAATCGGGTTTTGCTCGGATTTGGGTTGGGGTTTTATTAACTTTTCGGTTAATACAACGGATTATATTTAAACTATAATTTACTCATACGTTTATTTGATTTGTTAGTATTTTTTTCAACCCAAAATATTTTAATATAAGGGATGAATGATTTTTTTTTTTTATAATTTACTTATATGAGTTATATTTCTAGTAAAATAATTCACTCACTATAATAATTAATATTTGTAGGTACCTACTGTAACTATTATTGAAACCGTATGTCCGTATACTTAACTGTGATACAATGAATCATTTTTTTAGTTCAATTATTATTTATTCATAAAATAAGTACATTGATTTTATATTACTCCCAAAAACTTCTTCGCTGAAATGTTTATTCAAAAAATTCCATTTTGACGGAAACGGAACTTGGACCTTTTCTGGTTTGGGCGGAAACAGGCTGTGCGTTGTCTGGGATTTGTTTTTTTTTTTTTTTTGGCGATAAAAGGCCATGAAAATGTTTATAACATACTTTATTTACATATTTAACCGAATACCGACTCATAATAATAATAATATTTGAATAGTACACATAATAATAAAATACTAGTATAATAGTAAATTTAAGTATACAAATATTATAATTGACTTAAACTGGTTTACATAATCATGTAACTATTAATTATTATACTTCACACGAGGTGTACCTATACGAATAATAGTTAATGTATGGGTATCGTATAACGTAGCTATAAAAAAAATAGTACCCATATCATAATATTATATTATCAGCTTAGTAGCTTACTCACGACTATGAGGCATGAATGGAACGGCACGAAATAATTACATATTTAAATATTTTACTGGATATGAATATAATATGATAATATAATAAAGGTAGTGTTGGTAATAAATAATAAAAAAACTATCATAGTATTATCTATCGTACATTCGTACCTGTTATTACTTATTAATATTATTATACATTTATATTAATGAAAGATAATGTATAATATAAATACGGTTACATTATAATACGCACGCATTACCTACTTAATACCTACATTATTATTACCTATAGATTTAGTTGCCGATTTATAAAGCTTAATAATAATATATTAATACAATATAATACCTACTGGTTGTAATTTTTTTTCGGGGTTGCGTGATTTGACAGTAACAAAAGGTGTATAATTATTAATATAATACTTAAGACTCCCGCGTAAAATTATATTTCATATAGTACCTATAATGATATTATGATTTATGTTTGTTCTTAATAATATTATATTGACAGTTCATGGTGCTACTTCCAATACTTTCACCTTACCTTTGGGAGTTCTCCAATAGTCAATAGGTCATTTTGGTCATCTCATATTTGCCCTCTAATTAATTATCATCTCAATAGACATATTTCCTATTGTAAAGTTATTTCATTCGCTGACGACATTAAATTTAACATGGAAATTAACTCCACTTACGACTGCATTCGTCTACAGACTGACCTCAACTGCTTTTGGGACTGGGCTCCACGTGTCAGACTTATACTAAATCTTGAGAAATATTGCGTAATGTAATTTTGCTGGACCACTCCTGTTCTCCTTAATGGCTTCACTCGAGTGGTTATATAATGTTAATAAAGATCTTGGCTTTTAGTTTTTACTTGACCCTAATCATTTTATTTGACCTTCATTATATTATAATATCAGCATCAATAGTTTTGGAAGTCCTGATCTTCATTAAACGCAATAGCTATTTTCTTTCAGTTGAGGGGAAGTTATAGTGCCGCATTTGTTGTCTCCATCTTAAAAGTGCGTGACATAGGAAATTTTAAGCTCAGCAGAACACGTTTATCTCCCTTTAGTTTAAAAATTAGAGCGAATTTACTTCTTATACAATTTGAAGGTAAGATTATTATCTAGACAATGGACATAGGTTTTTTATTATAATTTAATTTTAAAGCGAATTATGTGTATTTTAAAATTGTAAACTGTTTGAACATTTTAAAATACTCATAACTCGCTTTAAAATTAAAATATAATAAAAAGTCTATGTAATTGTCTAGATGATAATCTTAGATTTAAATTTTATAAGAAGTCAATTCGCACTCATTTTTAAACTAACTGAGATAAACGTTTTCTGCTGAGAGTAAAATTTGCTATGTTACGCACTTGTAAGACGGAGAAAACAAATGTCACTGTAACGGCTTAACGTCTCCTCTCTTTTTGCTTCTCACATAATATTATGTCTGCTCCATTTTGGAATATACATCATAATATTATACACACCGGTTATTGTTATACCATCCGTATTTGGATCTTGACCGGCAACGAATAGAGCTGGTTAAAACCAAGTTTTTACTATAGGTGCATTGCTTTTGTTCTTAAAATATCAACCTCGCTCATGAGTCATGACTATTTTACTATTTGCTCTTCACTATAGAATAGGCATTCATATATCCTTGTTTATCACCATATTGATGCCGATATTTCTTTTATTTCATCCCTTAGAGGTACAGTTGACGCTCCCGAACTATCTGCATCAAATGAACCACTCACTTTTCTACGTTCAAAATTTCAAATGTTCAATCACTGTTTCGTATGACAATAATCATTCCCAACACAGAATGATCTGCCAAATTAATAAATTAATTTTGTTTTTCGGCTATACCTACCTTAATTAATCATAATTCCATTTCATGTGTCACTGATTGTAAACTTATCTTATACACTGCTTGTTATTAAGTATAACGGGAATAACCCGTTTGGGCGCAGTATAAACAATCTACCTGTAAATTATTTACACGTTTGAGCTCATTATTATGAATACAAGTTTGGGCACAATTGGTACAATAATTAGTAATCGAAAGTCTTGTGTAGTCTAATCTACGTAATAAGCACTAAAAATAATTAATTTTTACAAATGTACACTGTACATATTTGGAAAAGTGTATTTTATGTAGGTACCGGTAATTCAAGCTTTTTTAAAATCAAAATCAACTGAAATGTATTCAACATTTTGGACTACAATTAAAAACTTATGTCTAGAACTTCTTGGTCAAAGTTTAGAAGTTACATTTATCCACTTGGATTTTGAAAAATCAGCTCATATGTTAGCCAAAAATATTTTCTCTAATTATTGTCGAATAATTGGTTGCCCATTTCACTTCAACCAACTTCGGGTTTCGTAAAATACAAAGTAGCAAACATTTATTGAATTATATATTACACCAAGAAAACAGAGCCAGGGGTTTGGCTTCAAAATTGTTTTAGCTTGAGTTTTTTATGGTCTGATGAGGTTGAACCAAGTTTTGTTGAGCCTATGGGGTAAAGTATGCAGTTATTGGCACCTTAAGAATTCGTTTTTGGTAGTTATTGGCACCTAAACTGCTCCATTACAAAATCGAATAGCAAATTATCAAATAAATAATATGATAACATCAAGATTGATAGTAAAATAGTATCAATATGACCATATAATCGAAAAAAAAATATCTCTAAAATTCATAATCAAACATTTTATATACGAAAAACAAAAATACTTGGTGCCAATAACTACACCCCTGCCAATAACACCATGCTTTACTCTGTATAAGCACCACCCGATGTGACAGAATTTACTGATTATATACTTGACAATTATGTATCTGAAGATCCACAATTTCCACCTGTTATTACATTTGCGTTCTGTCAATAATATTAATTATTATACCCACAATACAAAGTAGAAATAAATTTAAAACCTTACGAATTGTATGACTGTATGAGTATTAAGTTATGGTTACGATAAGCATTCGAGTGCGTATATCGAATCGACTATATATAGGTACACAATAATTAACTATACTTAAAGACAATATGGGCATCAACTAAGCTACTTCATTAGTAATAATATTTGCATGCACCATGCACTTTACGACCACATGCGGTGTATGTTCTATGTAATATGTAGTATGTTAACAACGTTATAAAGTAAATACAATTAATGTAACTGCTTAACTATTGACCTATTGCCTACGTCTTTGATAATATGTATATAACGCACATTATTTGCTATGTTCGCGCATATTATTTTAGTACTAACCTAACCGATCGTATAGTCTTATAAATCAGTTATACTTATAATAAACATGTCATGATAATATGATAAATCATTGTATATTAACGTAGTTATTTATCTAAAAAAAAACAATTTAGTTTAAAACATATAACAAATTTAAAGTGCATCATACCGGTGCTTTTTCCAGCATCTTGCGCCCACTTGGCCAACGACGTAAGTCCGATCCTCTGCGAATCGGCATTGTCACAGTGAGTTGTATCATTGATCTGGTAATTTGCGTCCAGGCCAAGAGTCTTTTGATTGACCTTTACACCAGTGAACATTGCAGTTGCTGCACTCGCTGCATCCGGCACTTGTTTGTCGACCGAATACGTCTGAAACGCAAAATGTGATGCCGCACGTATATGTTATACCAAACACAATATAATATCATAATATATTATTTTACGTTATAAGTCTGTCTTTATATCCTATTTTAGTATACTTTCATGTATACAATTTCATGTATCTACGATTATATGTTTAGAGTTAACCCATCCTCCCATTGAATTACCAACTAGATTCACTTTTCTATCAGAAAATATGCTGTTGAAGAAAATCGATGACAGATACATAAAAAAAGTAAAACACACGCACACACACACACACACACACACACACACACACACACACGCAAATATCATTAATTACAATATTGTAAAATCAATACATTCTTCGCCCCGCTCATGATTTAAAATGAAAACCATTAAATACAATCATTATATAAAATCAATACATTAATCGCTCTGCTAAAAGTCTAAAATGTTATTAAAACTGATTGGCATGTAGTATAGGTAATAGGTAGGTACCCTGTAAAATGTGTTTGGTAGACGTATATATCTATATACTATATATATTTATAACTGTTAAAGTGAACTATAACAAAATTATAATGAAAAATCACAAATTAAATTTCTTTTGCAGTCCTTAAAATATTGAGACTTTTCAATTTAAATAAGAGGTTTGTAAGTAAAATTGTGTGTAGCAATTGGATAAATTCGTAGCACATTTACATATTTGTATGTGTAAAATTAATTTGCAACAATATTCTATGTCAGCATCATAATAAACAATTTACACGGAACAACAGAAGTGTGCATAAAAAACATGACACTATATTTAATAATGACTAATTCACTTATTTTTAGGTACAACAAATTAATTCACTTAGCTACTGTATTTAAATTTACATACGACCCATTATCAATATAGACATTTATTCTGATGATGTTTTTGTAGAATTTACTTACGTAAAAACTACGAATTCGTAATGTTAAGAATTCGTGTTTAAATTAAATTATACCTATTTCATATCGTATAATTATTATATAATACTCACAAGCTAAATGATTTTTAGAAAAGTTGGTTGAATATATTTTAATGTTATTTATATTATGTTAAAATATCGGAATAATAATAATTAATAAAAAAAAACCAATAGTAAAAAAAATATACTATATATTTGTAATAAAATAGATAAGAATTTTTATACTATAAAATTTTAATTTATTACTGATAATATGTGATGTTACGCTATTATCTTATAAATGTTTGCCCTAGGTAGTATTGTAGTAATAAATGTAACTATTAAGCGGCTGCTGATGAGTTAAATTGTGTAAATAAAATTTTTTTAAATGTTACCAACAAGTATAATATATAGATACGCTATAGGTTTGGCTGATATATTATGTATACGTATAAAAATATATGTAACCGTCAATTATTTAAATTAGGTAATAACGTAAAATGCCTAGCCCATATCATAAATTCCTAACATTAGTAGCCAATATCGTCAATGCCTAGGCATTAATTGACAATATGGGTTAGGTTTAAAATTCAGATATATGTTAAACACATTTACAACTATGACTCTGAAATTATCTTAACGTATAGGTAATACTGATAGACAATGTTTGATAATTTTGTTTAGCGGAGTAGTTAAATGGGTCAGAAATTTAATAATACACAATATAAGGTAAATTATACATTTATACTAATATTACATAAAAATAAATAAAATGAATAATTTATTTTCAAAATTTGATGTACCGTGACACTTTGAAGGTAAGTACTATATAGGTGGATACTAGATACATGTTATGCAATGTGATAACTGATAGTAGGCAATAGGCATGCATGTGTACAAATATTATAATTTGAAAAAATATAATAAAAGTAGAGTTATTTAGCCACACAATCATACCATCTACCTATAAATTGTACATTAAACAAATTCTCGTAAAATCCATACAAAGGCACGGACTTAATGATATAGAAATAATAGATAGGAGAACAGGAAAGTATATAAAATCACAACCACATAGTGCAACATTAACCAGTTAGTCCTGATAGTCCTGATTATATGGTAAAGACTATATTTTACAATTATTAGGGAAATAATGTAAAGAGTCTTATACAATGTTTATGAGAAAATCATTCTAATAAAACCAATGATATAATTAATAAAACTCTTAGGTATAAAAAAAACAATTAGTAAAACAGTCAATGACCATGATGAGAATATACTTATGTAGCAATAAATTATAAAAAGTCATATGTATTAGTAAAAATATAAAGAAAACATGTGGTGTTAATATTGATAATATAAATTAATCAATACTATTGTATATCTAGAAAATTAAATGAACTTTTTAACTGTATAAGAATTTTATATATTATTATTATAGATATATTAATACTATAATTTGCAAATATTTCTAAATGCATCATCGCCTGGAAATAATGGAAATTAACGTTTGGTACTTCCTTGTCAATACTGTCTAAATTGATCGGAAATATCGTTATTGACTATTCATACCTTAATACCAAAAAAAATTCCTTAATTTACGTCTTTTCCGGTAACATAATATATATATATATAATTATACAATGTTGTTTAAAATATCTGTTAAAACAAAGTTTCTTCTTACTATAATTATTCTTGTGTATTATGACAAAAGCATATATATACAATATTACACAGAGCGCGTGTGTCACAAACATTGAGATAGTATGACATTTATATAAAATTGCTTCTTCTGTTTCCTATTAATTACTGCAGTGATCCCAATAATAATTGTATGACAATTATGTTGGATTATAACAATAGTTAACAATAGTCACCCATTGAAAATAGTGACCTTCGGTGAAAAAACGACTTGGTGACATAAATGGTTTAGTGACCGTTTCCGTGTATATAATATAATATACATTGTGTATTAAACATTATTTTACTTGACATTATTCGATCACTTAAGGACCACGAGGTCCACGACATCGTTGTCCTCGTAAATACACAGAATTATAACTAAATAACTAGGTACTCATCGAATTGTACCTACCTAATACATATTGAAATTCTCAGAAAAAATTTTACTTCCAAACATGAAATTAAAAATGTTTGATGCATCATTCAAATAAGTAAAAACCAAAACCGATAATGATAAAACGATTTTTCAATAATATTGCTCCGATGACTTCAAATTATGTACAACATTTATTTCTTTGAAGTTATTTACCTACTGCTTGTTGTCTACTCTTAAAAGATTCACTTTTTACCATATACCATGTTTATTATGTGTATAGTATTAGTGCTATAGTTATAATACAACCGATGTATTGCAATTGTGTACTCACTTTAAGCAAGCCCACGTGCGGAAATTTTTCAAAGGTCAATAGTCCGCTCTCATTGTACTTGTAAATTCTGGTGGCCGTTACCGTGTTCGGTCCCATCCCGTCGCCGATAAACAGGATCACGTTCTTTGCCACCTTGTTGTTGATCTCCACGTTCAGAGCTTTGTACAGCTCATCTCTGCCCACCGCCATCCAATGCGCTTCACTACAAATACACGTATTTATTAGCACATTTATAAACATAATATTATAACACTCACACTTATACTAAACATATTAATATATGAACTAAGAAGAGGTCACTACGAGTGATCCATTTAAGTTGTTACGTATATATCTAAGTATACTATACCTGATGGCTCATAATTTGTTATTTTAGGGGGAACAGCGTCGACAGTGTGATCTACCGATAGATGGCTATTATAGTACTTTATAATTATGTGACCTTTTTATACAACATAATAACATAGATTTAATAAATACAAATTTCCGCAGCCCGTTATCAATAGATAGGTTGAAATTTGATCATCCAGGCACTCATATCGATGAGATGCGTTCATTCAGTTCTGTTACAACAACCACGTGTGAATTTAATCACCAGGCATTAAAACCAAAAAGAAAACTTTGTGGATACGACAAATGATTATTATATTGATAACCTTGATGCCCATACCAAATAAATAGAGAAATCCATAGTGGTTGTCAAGATACAACTCATATTAACAAAAAAAAAAATAATTTTAATTTAAAGGTTCGTAATATTTATACAATGACATAATTATTAAAAAGATTAGGATTTTAAAAACAATAATTGTGTTTTTTAGGTATTTATTTGTGAATAATAATAAATCTCACCGTTTAAAGGCAAGAAAGGGAACCGTATAGTATAGGGGACAATTAAAGTTCAAAGTCACCTATTTTTTATAACTATAAAGTACTTACAGACAATGTTAAGAACTATTATACTCGCATCGTCGTGTGGATGATTTAGTTACAGCATATTTAGGTCGTACGACCATGATGTGTGACGAAGCAATAATAAGACGTACCTACCTATATTTAATAATAGTTTACTATTTTTTTTTTTAAATTTTACCTTTTTAGTTAGTTATGACTTATGACTTATGTATAGAAACTGAAATCTAAACATTCAGTCAAATTTTGATGTATCTACAGTTATTCGTTTTTTGAATAACAACCAAATAAAAAATAACAAAATAGCTACACGAGAAATTGAGTGAATAAATAATAATAATAATACATTGTAAAATAAGAAACTTGAAATACTCATAAAAATGTTATTTGTTTTGCTTGAAGACATTTTTTTTTTTGATAAAGATAGTCAAACTTATGAATAATCATGTATTTCATTTTCAAAACTTAGATTTAAAAAGAAAAATTTTTATCAACTCTCAACTCAAAATAATATGCTAATTTTCATGATTTTTCCGTACTTTGCCAAGATTTGAACTTTAAATACTTATACAAAAAAAACTGTGACTAAGGATTTTTAATATTTTTCAAATGTCATGGTAACAATATAGTAGGAGCCGTGTATTCAATTTTCAAGCCTTTTTACCCAACAAGAAAGTTTATTGACATCCAAGATACAAGACTAATTAAATTGGAAATTGAAATGTCCCTAAAAGTTCAAAACAAATGAAAGTATTTTTAAAATTTTATTGTGTATAGAAAATAATATGTATATAAGTTAATTTTTTTTAGGTTACACCAAAAACCATAATCGATTTTGTCAAAAACTGATTTTGCTTAAAAATTCCCGTTTTTCCTTAATTTTCATGTTGTTTTCCAGGGCGCTTTTGAAAACTATTGAGAATTTTAAAATTCGACCTCCGAATGCAAAAACTAGATTCACTTTTCTACCGAACAAGATACTGTTGAAGAAAATCGAAGCAGTTTTTACTGCCCCAAACAGGATGACAGACACAAAAAAAAAAAATTAAAAAAAAAAAAAACCCATCTAAAAAATAAATTGGTGTACTTCGTATTGAGTAAGTCTCTGTATTCTGTAATGTTTGTGTTAAACTTAAATAATATATAGGAGTATAAATCAGGGTTCAAAGTCCTGGGTCCAGTAATAAAAATTAATGGTTGGGCCCAATGATAAAATCCAGTTAAAAATATAAATAAAGTTTGTCGTTTTTAATTAGTTCAACCTACTGTGGATTAATACAATCAATTAATACAAAATCCTAACCTAACCTAACCGTGCTAAAATCCGATGAATAAAAAATAATTCAAAGGCCTTAAAAATATGGATTGCAAATATTTCGATTGCATTAAAAAAAAAAAAAAAAACCAAAGAAGGCACTTTACTTTACTGTAAACGTAACGGATAATATACTAAATTTGAATCTAATAAATAATAATAAATCATTGCACACGAAATACTATTCCGTCCTATTTGGTACCAGAAACCACCATAGGCAACTAGACGAATATTCTTAGGGGTGTACAAATTATAAAGATATCCTGTATAATATCTCCTTCACACTGTATAACTAAATTAACAATAATTTCAAATGTATATTTATGTACTACCTATATTTTTAAACCAGTAAATTGTAAATTCAGTTTGTAAAACAGTAACAGTAAATTGTGACTACTACGTTATGATTTTTCGGCCAGCAAATTGTATTTATTTAAATTACTGCAAGTTCAGACTTCTGGACGACGTGGTCCACCTCTCCTATCTCAATTATAATATCCTAATCAATAATGCCATTACAATTATTTTTATTCAGTTGAGTAGGTACTTTTTAACTCTGACTGATTTAAACTAGAATTAGAATAGTTTTAAACAGGAAGACTTAGATCGTTAATTTCTTGTTTAGTAGTTTTTTTTTAAACACTACATTTACTATGGACGTAAATAGGGGCATTCTTAGTGGAGAGCTATACCTACTTGGAATTCATATTTTGTATCGTGTGTTGGTCACAAACACAATAGGTTAAACAAACGTACACAAACAAGTTATTCATATTTATTATTATAATAAATAATAGACACGTTGGCTTAATACCTAGTATGCTGCATAGTTATTAATTTTCTTATTAATGTTATTACCGTTTTTATTTTGTTCAAAATAGATTTTTATAATATAATACATCAATTTTTACTTTCGTACCTAAATAATATTTATATTTTTCCGATTTCTGTTATAATTTTTATTTCTAAAAGTTTTCTTACATTGTTCTCAACTTTTATAAGTTTCTTTTCGTTCGTAAAGTATAAGTTCTTTTTAGTTTTAACATAAATCAATTACAATTTTTAGGTTTATAGACGCACGCACATCAACAATGAATGCAATTATTAACGGAGGATTATATCTCTCAGGCCACAGATTTGAAGACTGAAATATTTTTATGCAGCTACAATGTCTTAAGTTTTATAGAAGATGTATATAAAGTCCAAGTGACTGTGACGATAAGGAATTATTTTGATATAAGTCTTGAACAGCGCATAAGTAAGCTAAACTATAGATTCCTAAACCAAGTAAGATGATTTTATGTATTTTGTAAAATGTATTTATTTAATATTGTCATCCCACCAGTATTGTTAAAATTCCTTTTATATAGGAATTCGTTCAGTTCCTCGTTGCTCATGGCTCATGAGTTATCAGTTATTATCATAATCACTAATCAGAACACAAAAGTCATATGTGAATAAAAAATTGGTAGTCTAGTCTATTATTTTTTTTAAAATTAAAAACATGATAAGTAAACAAAAATACAACATTTTTCTCCTCAAATGTTTTTTTAAACTTTTCGGAGAAGAACAAAAGAATTATAATATTTACGTTCCAATTCCTAAAAATAAGGAATTGATTCACGTTCCTATTCCTTTAAAAAATAATGAAATTTATTCCTTCATTCGTTCCTCTAAAAAGGAATCGTTCCTTTAGGAAAGCGTTCCATAACAACATTGTCGCCCCCTCACAATTTCATATCTACACCAAACACATCACTCACTATCGGCCGCCGGCGTTACACACACATAATAAACACTTGGTTCCAGGACAGTAAAATAATATGAAAGAGTTTCACTACATTTAAAATAGGTTGAATAAAGTGGTCCAATAGGAATAGTGAGTGGTAGGAGACTTAGAAATAGGACTTCGGTAACCTCTAAATAATAATAAATAAATATTTTTAATATTTTTATTATATTTATTATAATATATTTAATAAAAATATGATAAATATAATAATAATAATATAGTTACAGTTATAATATTAAGACAGTGTTGAAATTTAAACAAGTGTCAGAGGGAGGATATCATCTTAATAATTTAAAACTTTTTGTATGTTTACTTCTCTTGGACTTATAATGCTATGTGACAAATATAAATCTCAGCAGCCTCACTCGCCTTTACAGAGGCTGAAACACACTAAAATTCAACGTTATAGTAAACCGAAAATGTGCGAATGCCATTCTGTAACAAAATTAAAACCAATTTAATTTTAACCAACATTAAATTCGATATTTATTTATTTATATTAAAATATATTTTATTGATGTGTAATAACGAAAAATGTAATTCGAGAGAAGTGCAGTTTTCGCTGTACCGATCTATGTAAATTATTACAATATTATTATTGTAGTCGACCGGTGTCACCGGCGTTCGAGTGTTCTCGATTACGATGTAGATTAGGCCTACAGGGGAAACAACAATAAAAAAAATGCGCCACGTGTAATACCTAATGCTTTTAAACAACATAACCAACATATAATGTCTTGTAGTGTGCTGCATATGGTATACTGCGTAGGTGGTGTGGAAACTTACGCGACGCTGCAGTCATCCTATACATCGAGTAAATTGAAGTAATATAGATATCACAAATAATAAGATTAAAAACTTGTATAATATAAGACCATGGTAGATATTAAATAAATATACTTTTGAAAGGATACAGATCACAGGTGGTTTAAGGGCAAATGTACAAAACCTCGGGGGCTGGAGAAATGTTCGGACGCTTCCCTTTATGACAAAATCACATTAAAAAATTACTTTTTTCTAAACCATTGTGTGGAACCATTTGTGAGACAAGTAGGTATGTAAAAAATTAAAAAAAAACAAATATTTTGTGATAAATGATAACTATTATAATAGTATACTTAATAATCCATACACTTAAATAACAAATTATAAATAAGGAGATAATGTCAA